CAACCATCGAAAACCTTGTTACCACCCTAGGAAGCCTATATTATCCAACATAGAACACCTTACAACTACTCAAGCTCTCTCTCTTTCATGGTAAATTTATGAACTTCTAGCTTGCACACCATGCCTTACTTGAGCAAGTCATTAATTGGTTAATCATGCTAATCTTCGAGTCATTGATCTAACCAGAATATTTCCTGACATGAGCTAACTCTTTCAAGATATTTCGAGACTTGGTATGAAACTGAACCAAGGGAAACAAGAAGAAGTTCTCAAAGCAAAGTCCACATTAACCTAAAAGTCTCCTAACAACTAGAATATTGGCCAAATAATGAAAATTGCAAAGTAGGTAGTTTTGTGTGAAAATATGGCAGCTATTTGGTTGTTTTCGAATAAGACCGAGCAAAATGGCTGACTTTTGGAATAATGACAAAACCTTTGAAACTACCATTGTCACCATGGTTGTTGTTGCACCTAGATGCCAATTCATTTCCTCCACCGCCATTCAATCCCATATGCTAATTAGAGCTTATCTTTGGGGTTTAATTTTCTGATATCATTCTTTTCACCAAGGAGGAAAATATATAATGTACAAGAGTGATTTACAAGGAAAGAAATAAACATCAAATAACCTAATTACAATTTGATTATAAGGACTCAAAAAAAGGTAACTAAACTAATTACAAAAAGTCAACTCTCCAACACTCCCCCTCAAGTTGGTGCATAAATGTCGTTCATGCCTAACTTGACAAGAGAGTTGTATAACGCTTGACTTGCAATAGCTTTAGTTAAGATATCCGCTAATTGATCCTTTGACTTTACGAACAGGAATTGAATAATATTCTTATCCAACTTCTCCTTAATGAAGTGTTTGTCAACTTCCACGTGTTTTGTGCAATCATGTTGAATTGGGTTGTGTGAGATATTGATAGCTGCTTTATTATCACAAAATAAATTTGAGGCTGAATTCGAAGGATACCCAAGTTCACCAAGTAACCTTTGAAGCCATAATAGTTCACATACTCCTTTTGCCATACCCCTGTATTCCGTCTCTGCACTTGATAAAGCAACCACTTTCTGTTTCTTACTCCACCAAGTCACTAAGTTTCCTCCCACAAATGTAAAGTAACCAGATGTGGACTGATGATCAGTAACGTTGCCTGCCCAATCTGCATCGGTGTAACCCTCTATTCGACAATGATCATTCTTGGAAAACATGATACCTCTACCTGGTGAGGACTTCATGTATCGTAAGATGTGTCCAACTGCACCCATATGTGCCTCACCCGGAGAATGCATAAATTGACTAACAACACTTACTGCGTATGCAATATCAGGCCTGGTGTGAGATAAATAAATTAACCTCCCAACTAACCATTGATAGCGATCTCTGTTAGTGGGAACTTGATCAGGGTGCACGACAAGATGGTGATTTTGGACTACAGGGGTGTCCACCGGTTTACAATCAAGCATTCCGATTTCAGCTAACAAGTCAAGAACATATTTTCTTTGAGATAGAAATATACCCTGTTTAGATCGAGCTACTTCTATACCCAAGAAATATTTTAGTCCACCAAGATCTTTCATCTCGAACTCAGTTGCTAAGTAATCTTTCAGCCTTGAGATTTCCTCTTTATCATCACCTGTAACAATCATATCGTCCACATAAATAATAAGCGCCATCAATTTACCCATTCGACGTTTCAAGAAAAATGTATGATCGGAATTGCTTTGCTTAAACCCATACTTCCTCATAGCCGTCCGGAACCTACCAAACCATGCCCGAGGTGATTGTTTCAATCCATGCAATGCCTTATTCAACTTACACACCAGTCTAGGTTGTGAAACCGATGCATAACTAGGTGGAATATCCATATACACTTCTTCTTTAAGATTACCATGTAAGAAAGCATTTTTCACATCAAATTGCTGTAATGGCCAATCCAAGTTAGCCGCCAACGAAAGTAACACTCTTACCGTATTAATCTTTGCTACCGGAGCAAATGTTTCTGTATAATCAACACCATACATCTAAGTGTATCCTTTGGCCACCAATCGTGCTTTGTATCGTTCAATCGACCCATCAGCTTTGTTCTTGATGGTGTACACCCATTGACATCCCACTCTCTTCTTTCCTAGGGGTAGCAGAACTAAATCCAATGTTTGATTTTTCTAAAGTGCATCCATTTCTTCCTCCATTGCCTTGGTCCATCGATCATCAGATAGTGCCTCATTCAATGAACTTGGTATGCTATCATTGGATATTTGTTGTACAAAAACTTTGCCTGGTTCTGATAATTTATGTGATGACACATAGTTGGCAATGGGATATTTAGAGCCTTTCGTTGTTTCTGGTGAATATTGATTGGGTGGCTTTCCCCGGTTGTGCCTAAAAGGTAACTGATAATTCAGAACATCGAATACATCAATAGGGATAGTAGATCTTACCTCAGGAATATTCTCTGGAGTATGGTCATCTGGTGGTACTATATTTTGAGACGAGGGGGAGTAGTATCAGTAGAAGTCTCAAGATCGGCAAATGGCAGCACTGTTGTCGTGGGTGAACACAACACTGCAGTGCCTGCTGCTAGTTTTGTGGGCAGTGATGCTGCTTCTGTTGGCTGGGCTGGCAGTGCAGCCACTACGGGCTCGACTAATAATGGCAACGTAAGATCAGTGGCAGCAGCAGCCATGGTCCAAACTTGCTCGTCATGCAGTGTCTCCCTCTGAAGAGGAGGGTTGGATGAAGCCGAAGAGTAATACATCTCAAACTCGGAAAAAGTAACATCCATGGTAGTATACATCCGACACGAAAGAGGGTGGTAGCAATGGTACCCTTTCTGATGTAATCCATACCCCATGAAAACACACCGGAGAGCACATGAGTCAAGTTTTGTCTGTTGATTTTTATGTAGATGAACAAAGGCAACACATCCAAAAACTCGCGGTGGGAGCACCAAAACAAATGGTAGAGGCACGAATGTAGTAAGAACTTGCAAAGGTGTAAGAAAATTCAATACTTTGGATGGCATTCGGTTGATAAGGTAAGTGACAGTCTGAATAGCAACATCTTAAGAGAAGTGGGGAACATCCGCCCCAATCAATAATGATTGAGCTATTTCTAATAGATGGCGATTTTTGCGCTCAGCCACCCCATTCTGTTGAAGAATCTGAGGACAAGTAGTCTCGTGGAGGATTCCGTGAGTAGTTAAATAATGTGTAAAATCATTATTAACATATTCACCACCATTATCAGAACGCAAAATCCGGATTTTAGTAGAAAACTGTGTCTAACCATGGCGTGGAATGTCTTAAATGCCAGCAACACATCACTTTTATGCTTAAGAAGGTATAACCATGTCATTCGTGTGCAATTATCTATGAATGTTACAAACCACCTAATACCAGATAAAGTAGTAATCGGAGATGGTCCTCAAACATCAGAATGAACAAGACCAAAAGGAATATTACTTTTATTAGAATTCAATGGATAAGAGACACGGTGACTCTTGGCAGGTACGCAAGTGTCACATTTAAAGTTTGAAACCGAACAACCAACAAATAAATCCGGAAACATATGCTGTAAATAATTGAAAGACGGATGACCCAAACAGTGATGCCATAACCATATCTAACGCCGTTCATGATCAATGGCTTTTTGGGCGAGATTGACCCGTCCTGTACTGACATCGTCCACAAAATAGAGATCCCCCCCTCTTAGTACCACGACCAATTATCTCTTTCGTAAGAATATCCTGAATAAGACAAAACTTTAGATACAATAGTACACAACAATTCAATTGCTCAGTAGCTTGGCCAAGAGACATTAATTTATGCTTTAGTGCAGGTACAAGTAGTGTATGCGACAAAGAGAGGGTAGGCGTGAGGCGTACAATGCTACCACCAGTTACCGGTGAGGTGACACCATTAATATTAGTAATATTTCATCGAAGTGGAACAGTACCACAAGATAAATCAGTGGGGTCATAGGTTATATAATCTGTGGCACCAGAGTCAATAATCCAATCGGACTGAGTATCACAATTATTCATATGAAAAGCATAACCATAGTTACTTGAGGACTCCGAAGGCATGTTGGAAGAACTCGAAACAAGAGGATTCATAGTAGGGTCAGTTAGGGTAGTAGTGTTTAGTATAGAGGTAGGATCGGTTAGGATGAAATTGTTTCCACTGTGGAGTGGTGGTAGGTTCTTCATGGGAGGGCCGAGTTTGCTTAAGGGAACGGGTAGAGCAGAAATCCTAAGATCTCTACTCTGATACCATGCTAATTAGAGCTTATCTTTGGGGTGTAATTTTATGATATTATTCTTCTCACCAAGGAGGAAAATGTATAATGTACAAGAGTGATTTACAAGGAAAGAAATAAACATCAAATAACCTAATTACAATTTGATTATAAGGACTCAAAAAAGGTAACTAAAATAATTACAAAAAGTCAACTCTCCAACACCATATTCCCTCTTCCATCTGAGATATGTAATTTATTGATTTGGTGTTTGAAATATTAAGGGCAAAACTAATATTAGCTGTAGGATTCTTATCTAATGGTGAAAATGTGCCAAACAGGTTACCTGAACTTGGTTTTATTTCACAATTATATTTATAAACAGTAAATAAGTCTGTATTCATACCCTTGTTGCATTGCATTGCATAGAAGAAAATTGTAACTTTGTTCTGCCTAGGGATGGATTTGAAAAACTGAAAAAACTAAATCGTTCATCAAAACCGAAAAAGTCAAATCGAAAACAAAAACAAACCAGAGTTGTAAAATTCAAACAGAACTGAATTATTTTAATTCGATTTCGGTTTCGATCTCAGAAATTCAAATATCAAACCAAGCTGAACCTAATTAATGTATATTAATTTTATTTATTTATTTACATTAGATTTTATTTTCTAAACCCAATTTCAATTCCAAGGCCCAATGTGTTGGCAAACTTCAAACCCAATTCCCTTCTACCTCCTATTCCTTCTTTTCAATCTCCTCATTCGCATCTTCCTTCTCTCTCCCTCGTCTTTCCTTGTTTTTTCCTATTCTTTCTTCTCTTTTTTCTCAGTTCCATGCCGTCCACCAAGACAACGCATGTCTCTCACTCTCCTCAATCCTCTTGCGTCTTCTGATCTCTCTCTCCGGTAAGAATCTTCCCGGCCTGCCGAGAGTGCATACTCGCTAGCAGCCCGATACCTCGATTCTCCAAGGCCTCTAATTGGAGGTACTAGTTGAGAAGTTTTTAATCAGTTTGTTTTCGTTTTGGTCTTCGCTTTCAATATTTTTTTGTTGGTTTGTTGTGAACGTGACCATAACTTTTATACAAGAATATCAAACTGAAAACTACAAGAAGCTATTGCAAATGGTGGGTTCAAACCCTTCTGATTATCCGATTGATTGTCAAGAAATTCATAATCTTTCAATCTCTAAGAGTACAACCGCGACCTCAAATTACTTCCTTGAAAATGATTTGATAATATTATCGGGCTCCAGTCTTGGGAAAAAGAAAAAGATCAACTTGGCAAATTAATAAAAATCATTTGCAATTGCGATTGTACTTAGAGATTGAAAGATTATGAATTTTTTGACAATCAATCGGATAATCTAATCTAAACTACGGAGAGGGTGAGGTTTTGAACAGCCATACGGTGGGTTGAGGAAGAGGCCCTTTCGAGGGCACTCCACCATTTGCATAGTTTCTTGTAGATTCCAGTTTGATGTTCTTGTATAAGCTGCGTTGTTTGGTTAGTACATCTTTTTGTACTGTTTTAACAGATATGATGAGTTCTCAGTAAACTTTGTGAGTTGCAGATGGCGTTGAAAGAGAGTTTAAATAGGTTCAAGAAGCAGCAAGAAAGCGCACAGTCACTTCTTATCGGCATTGCATCTGATAGGGCCACAGCAACGCCAAGACCTGCGCCTGCGGTCACTAAGGCTCCTGCTCCAGCTGTCAAATTTTCAAATGATACTGAGAGGCTTCAACATATTAATACCATACGGAAAGCCCCTGTTGGAGCTCAGATCAAGCGTGTTATAGACCTGCTGCGGGAGGTTCGAATTAAACTTACATTTCCTCCCATTATTTGCTTGATGTAAATGATTATTATATTGCTTTATTTACAAACCTCCAAATGAGTCATATCAATTCATAACTTTGTAGTGTATACTTTAAATCCTGAAAGACAAATAACTTTGAGGTGTCCATTGTTTGAACTACAACCTTGTCTGAACCCCAATATGATGTTTTGAGTTTCATGTTGATTTATACAGTAAGTTGTAAGGAGCAGGATTTTTGTAGAGATTCTTGGCATGTAACTTATTGGTGTGCCACTTCTGATTGCGGATTTGGACAGTGTTGACTTGTATGTCCAACATAAGTCTCACCTTTTGGGACCGGAGTGGGTTGTTGCCACCCTCCCCCACCACACTCATTTTGCGTAACAAAATGATGAATTAATGGTCTGTATGTAAAAATTTGTTATGTTCATAGTCTTTTTTTTGAAGTTATACAGAACAAGGAATATTTTAGATGTAGAGCCGAAGACGGATCAATATCTAGAGCACGCGGTATGAGTGGTATGGGTATAGAAAATTGGCTGTACAGGTAATCTGCTGTTGGTGAACAGATGCAAGTTGTATTCATATAGTTCTGATCTTGAAAATCTGAATTCCTTCCAAAGTGAAGTTTGCTACTTGGTTAGTGGCTCATAAAAGTAGGAGACCCAACCCCTATGCAAGAGTGACTTGGAGTTTGTGGATTATGTTTTTTTACATTGCCCTGTGGTTTTTGAGTCTTTGGCCGTTGTTGTTCAGGGAGTTTGGACTTTGGAGTACGTTTTCTCCTTTTTACCTGAGAAACATAAATTACCAGGGAGGGGGAAGAAGACCAGGGTTTTAAGGGGGTGCATACATTTGACTAATTATTTGGGCAGTTTGGCTATGATTTTTCAAAGATCTTGCAGGTGGTGGGGTATAGATTTTATGGGAATTTTTTTTTTATCTTGGTCATCATTTGGGCCTCAATCTCTCCAGAATTAAGGGGTTGATCTAATGCCAATGTTCAGGAGTTGATCTTGCTATATACTATGTACGGTGTTGTCTTCTGTGTTTTACATCTTAGTGTTTGAGAACACTTGCTTCCATGTTTTTCTTATGCTTTTGCATTCCCAGTTGTCGCCATCTTGTCCACTGCTTGTGTAATTTTATTGTTCATTGGATTAAATTTTGTCTCTACTGAATAATAATTAAATAAATAACAGATTTCAGAAATAAGTAAGCATTTGCATATAATATTTATATGAGGGCCGTGCTGAAGGCTTAAGTTAGTGGCTCTGCTTATTTCTGATCTTCTGGATCCCTATAATAGAATATTTGCGAGGTTGAAATGGGGAGTATCAGTTTAGATGGAAGAGTTTTTGTCGTTAAAGATATTAGCTTTGCCACGGGTTCAGTTGTAGCAATTAGAAATTCACTAGGTGCTAACATTGGTGTTAATCTATAATTTTGTTGGAGCAGTTTGGTGCTTTCCTGAAAACACCTTTTACTCTTCTCCCTTTCCCTGCTCTGTTTTGTTGTTTTCTATTTCTCGCTTTTTGGTCTTTAGTTTCGCAAGAGATATGCTAGCTTGGATAGACTATTTGATGACTTTGAATCTCTATGTTTACATATTTTTGCAGACAAGGCTTTCGTACACGCCAGATCAAATTAATCAAGAATGTTATGTTGATGTGAATGCTAACAAAGCTGTCTTTGACAGCCTGAGGAATAATCTAAAAGTTTCTTATGATGGGAAGAGCTTCTCTTATAAGGTAACTTTGAATTTTACCTAACTGTATGCCTGAGTAGACCAGGATAGTATGGTTTTATATATCATTTGAATTATTTATAAATAGCCTTTTTGTTTAACCTCCATGAAGGATGAGATCTTCACTTGTCTTTTTTTTTATGTGTAGTCAAAACATCGTATCACAGACAAAAAACAGTTGCTGTCCTTAATACGGAAATTTTCAGAGGGTATACCGGTCATTGATCTCAAGGATGCTTACCCAAATGTGATGGATGATTTACAGGTATATATTATTTGTATATCTCCTACTTATTTGATGAATCATGGTATAGCAAATACCATCATTTGATACCGTATTTAGCTTTTAGATATCTTAGAGATCCCCCCCCCCCTCTCTCTCTCTCTCTCTCTCTCTCTCTCTCTCTCTCTCTTCCACCAATTGTAAATGGGACCATCTTTGTGTGCGAGAGAGATACCATATTTGACTGTCAATGTTTTGACGGTCCATATAACTCTGCAAATTTAGGGGTCCGAGTAACTACGGAGGTTTGAAGTTTTCATCTCTTTTTAACCTTATTGCTTTTACTGAGGCCATTAATGTGGAACCTATTAGGAACTGTTTGAAATGCTTTTAGCTTGGTATGGTGACCCCGAAAGAGAGTTCTACATCTTTGGTCTTAAAGATGTCTTATTAGATTTCTTCTTTTGTTGATTATATGAAGGAGAAGGGCTATGCATCTTGTTTTTGCATCCGAACTTTCAGATTTTGGTTGAGGCCTCTGTGTCTCCTGTGATGTGAATTATATGTATCTCGGGATTACTACTCTTACCGTAGAATTTTAGAAAGAGAAATTCTTTTCTAGGCTTTGAAAGCTTCAGGTGACATCTGGCTGCTTTCAAACTTTGATTCACAAGAGGACATAGCATATCCAAATGACCCCAGGTTGCCTGCTTCCAAAGTTGATGATGACCTTAAGGTGCTTTTTCGGGGGATTGAATTGCCTCGTGATATGATTGACATTGAGAAAGAGCTCCAGAAGAATGGGATGAAGCCGGCTACAGATACTGCAAAAAGAAGGGCCCTGGCACAGAGTCAAGGCATTCCTAGCAAAACCAAACCCAAGAAGAAGAAGCACGAGATCACCAAGAGAACCAAGCTTACAAACGCCCATCTGCCGGAGCTTTTCCAGAACCTAAAGAAGTAGGTCAAGCCGTCCTCTTTGGCAAGTTGCATGGTTATGTTAACAGGAAGATTAAAAAGTGGATCATCGCATTACATCATTGACGTTCTATTCATATTTTTCAACGTTATAGTTCATGTGAAAGTTCTCCGAGATGATGTGGCTTGTATGGTCCACAGAATGTTTTGAAAAAAATGTACCATTAGCCACGTTAGAACTATTAATGTTAGTGAAAAACACTATATGAATCAAAATGCTGAGGTTTTTTTAGACTTATTTGTGAAGGCTGCAGAATGTGACCAATGCCTTGTGATATTTGATTACCTTCTCATAAGCAAAACATTTCTTGCTTCCAGCCTTGTATTTTGGAAACAAAACTAAAACTATGGCCGAACACCCCTCACTATTGGAAGTTTAAGGGCAATGGACATAACTTCAAGGCTTCAACCAAGTTAAACTTTTAAGGTTTCATCCAACATATATGTTTTGCATAAGACGTTACAGATGTGGGTTAGATTAATTAGTGGTGAGTGCGGTGTGGTCACCTCAATGCACATCCGGTTTGAGTCCTCAACTTGTAAGTTAGAATAGTTTAGTATACACTGTCTTGTAAAAATTCCACAGGAAATTTGGTAAATGAGCTAATATTTGGACCATGAATAGTTATCTAATTATTTTTCTTTTGATAATTTTAAGCAAAAATTGACATTAAAAGTATATAAACAGCCTTGTTGACCGAAAATTGATAAAGTTATATTCTGCAATGAGCTCCACTCCCACTTTGTCTTAACAAGTTCATGCTCAATCAAAGTAGAACAAAAAATTACCCCAAAAACATGAGATTTCTGTAAATATCTCAATCAAGAAACCTAGTTTTCCACCAAATCGCACTGCGCAAGTACCTAGCTTTGAGAATCCTCCCCACGCCTTACATCGAGGAAGTGGTCCAACCCTCCCCATGTCTTGTGTATATGTAAAACAAAGGTTGCATAGGTGGATGACAGGTTTCATTCAGTGGCAGAGCCACTAAGGCCATCTCCAACCGAAGGGACTATATTTAGCCTCTGTCCAAATTATAGCCTTACAAGAAATTATTTTTTAATGAACAGTATCAAGTCATATTTATATACCATCTCCAACTAAAGAGGGCTAGTTTTTTAGCCCCCTCAATAATTTATTATTTTATTTAATTTTATTGGTTAATTGAATTAAACTATCATATTAAAATAAGGTTTCCGAACATATTTTGAGTGCCACTTGTCGTTAAATGAATAAGCCTCCAGACATATTTTGAGTGCCACTTGAAGAAGAGACCATTTGAAAATTATTGAAAAAAATTAAAGGAAAGATTATTGGAAAAGGTAAGAGAGGGGTGTGTATGGAAAAAGTGTTTGAGGTGGATAGAATGTGAAGAATTGAAATAAAATGATGTTAGATAGTATGAAAGGATGAAAATGATGTGAGAAATGATGTAGAAATGTCTTTAGGTATTTATAGGAAAAAAGTAAATTAGAATTTTTTATATTGTTTTTAATTTCGTCTTTGGAAAAAAAAAAAAAAAATTCCAGCTAGGCCCAAATGAAGGGGCTGGCTAGCTGGCTAAAGATGATCAGCCCGCTGGTCATATGGTTGGATTTTGGCCCTGTGGGTCCTAAGAGTTTTTGGCCGAAACCTCCATTGGAAATGGGTTTTGTGCCATAAAAGGCTATCCTTCGGCCTATGGCATTACGGCGGCCCAGTTAGAGACCAACCGAAGAGGCTATGTTTAGTCTCTATCTAAATTATAGCCTTGCAAGAAATTATTTTTTAATGAACAGTGACATACCATATTTATATACCATCTCTAACCAAATGGGCTATTTTTAAGTCCCCTCCTTTATTATTTTAAGTTTGTTCTTTAATTTTATTGTTTAATTGAATTAAACTACCATATTAAAATAAGGTTTTCGGACATATTTTGAGTGTCACTTGTTGCTAAATGAATAAGTCTCTAGATTTCTTATCCTTTGATTGAAGATGTGGCCATTTGAAAAAATATTAAAAAATTTAAATTTAGATTATTGGAAGAGGTAAGAGAGTGGTGTTTATGAAAAGGATGTGAGCCTAAGCAAAAAAAATGAAAGGATGTGAGAAATGGTGTAGAAATGACTTAAGTATTTATAGGAAAAAAATTAGAAGTTTTAAAAAAACTTTTCCAAAAAAAAGTTTACCAAATACTCAACAACTTTATTTTACAACTGTTTATTCTCACACCACAGCATAAGCAATTTTTTTTTCTTTTTTTTTTAAAGCACAACAATACCAAACTAGCCCATATTCTATCAACTTTTCTTTGGCTTTAACTTATACTTTAAAAATTTCTTGAAAACTCCTTACCTCATATTCAGATTTCTGGATTTGTGCAATGTTTTTAGTTCTCTATATTGAATTTAGGGTCTTTCAATTTTTATGTAAATTGCTCCAATCTCTCCTGTTCTAAGTTCAAATTACCTATGTATGTGAGAGGCCCTGCTACACATGAAATTCTGGCGCCCCCACTAGTTTCATTGTTGTGGTGCTTGCAGTAGCTGGATGCATGTTGTGCTTAGAGAAAAAATGTAAAAGAGTTCTCAAAGAAGAGGGCTAACATAAATGATAGGAGGAGAAAGATTGCACAATGGATAAGATATAGGTTTTTAATTATTTTAGTTAGAAAAGGGTCATTTTCATGTCAAATTTTGGTTAGAATTATATAAAGTTATAATGGTTGGAAGAGATCGTTTATTTCCCAGTCCACTCTTTTATATTGGAAGAGATCGCCCCCTGAAATTGATATAAGGGATAGTTTAGTTGCTGTCCCTGATCCCTAACTGTTATAAACTCAAACCTTATGTATTTTAAGTTTTTGATTGAATTCCCTCTTTGGCCACATAAATGACATAATAATAAAAGAGATACAATAATATCAATAAAGACTTAACCGTTTTCTTGCTGTCATTTACACTACCAATTCAATTATTCAAAATTGCTTATGAGCTTTGATTTAAAAAAAAAAAAAAAAAAAGTAATTGCTTATGGGTGCATTCTAGATTATATTAAAAATGGGATTTTATTTTATTTTTATTAAATATAAGTACATTGATATAAAAAAAATTTGGCTACATTTTACATATAAAAAAGGAAAACTAACAAAAAAACTTTAGTTTCAATGAATAAAGTTGTAGTAAATAGTACCAGGAAAGGTAAAAATATAGTTTTTCATTAAAAGTGAACAGTATCGGGAGTGTTTCGTTAAAATTCTCTATAAAAATTAGTATACATTTTATACATAAAAGGGGCACGTTTTATATAATTTTAGATTAAAAAATAAATAGATTTTACATTAAAAAAAGGGTACATTTTACATAAAAAATGGTGCTTACAAAAAAAAAAAAAGGATACATTTTGCATATAATAAAGTGGTACATTTGTAAAGAAAAATGGGCACATTATAAATAACTTATGGGTACAAATAAAAGGTTAAAAAAATTATGAGTAGAAATAAAAGTTTAAAAAAGAATGGACAAAAAGAAATTTATATGTGGGTACAAATTAAAATTTAAAAAAAGGGTTGCCAATTAAAAATGGGTACAAACTAGAAATAGAAATATATGATAAAAGTTTAGCCATAAATATAAATATACCAAATGTAGCATTTCAAACACTAAATGAATATATTTAGAAATAAATTTTAATTATCTTGACATGTAAATAGTTTATTTTTGAAATAATTAATGATGTTCATTAAAATTGAAGAACCTTGATTAAAAAATTGAAAAAAAAAGATTTTAATAATATAAACAATAAGAATGGGAGCCTAATTTCTCCTTGATATAAACCAGTCACAAGACTCATCGAAAGTAGAGCAAAGAAACCAGAATATCACGCGCTGCCATGATGCTCATTCAATCTCAGTGCTCCATACTCTATCCTATTCGCCTCACAAACCCTCGCCGCCGGTGCCATCTCATTTCCCACCCTGCCCCTATAACAGTAATACGAAGTTCCATAGTTTTGACTCAGCTTTTTCATTCTTTAATTAATTATCTGTGTTCAGTTTCCCGATTGAACGATGTTGTGAGAACGTGGCTGGGGAGTCGAAGGAGCTTCATTGGCCTAGAGATCCCATTTCCCACAGTTCCATGTCACGTAGAAGGTTGCTTCACTTGTTTTACGAAAGTTATTGTGTTGAGTTGTTATTATACGCGTTAATTGTCACATAATGTGATCAAAAAATTTGATCCCTTTAACATTATCCCTTGTTTTTTAGCTTCTTGCGCGTAATGCAACCATGTGGTGTTACTTGACACAACAAATGTCTCATAATGTGGTGCAGTTACCTTACGTCAACATAATGTTCTTGTAATTACCATAGGAAGATCTTGGAACACGTATGCTTGCTCAAAGCAAAGGAGAATTTACCTGATGAGGAATAGAAGGATATTATGGATGCAAATTTCTTCCTTCTTGTTCTTGGACGAAAATGCACTTGCAAAAACAATTAACACCTTAGGTCAAGACCAAGAGTCTCACGCACCCATGATGAATTTGTGTGTTGGGGGGGGGGCTTTGGCCGAAGAACCTCTGATGCCAAATTTAGAATTTTGAGAGAAAAGTGTTTGGAGAATTTAGAGAATTTTGCAAGAGGATTGGCCTTGGGTTTTGGAGAAAATGAGGTGGTATTTATACAGGTGTGGCCGGCCACCTTTGGTATTTTTTGGTGTTAATCACCATCAATTAGCTAATTAATAAATTAATTGAGTAATAAATCAATTAATTAGCTAATTATTATGATGTGAAAGAAATAATTTGGGAGTTACCTTGTGGGGAAGATTTGATGAGGGTTGATGAAATAGGTTTTGAATTAATACCTATTTTGATCACTTTTAACCTTGATTAAGGGATGATTGTCCGTTGCTTGCGCGTACAAATCCCGGTGTGTCTTGAGGGTAATCTTGTCTTTTTCACCCAAAAATCCATGTGTCGCCTCCATATTTTTTTTGATTATTTTTGGCTCCACATATATGCTGGATTATCTCTATACAACCCAATATCAAATGCGAGGCATTCTTGCGATATCATTAGGTTAGTTTTACTTCTAAACTCAAAACACTCGGTTTTTGGTGGCTTTCCTTTGTCTAATTTGGCACTAAACATGGGCTTATGTTCTCTCAATCACTGTCTGCATACACTTCCAGGGAAAAGAAAACATTGATAAGTTTTACGACAATCCTTTCTACTCGCGAGTTCTCAAGGAG